TGACATGCTTTTCTTCCATATTGCTGCATAGTTCTGTTTACTTGTGCATATGCCAGCTACTTTGGTACCAACAGTATGTAAAACTATGTGATGACAATAAGATTTTTTTCCTTCATTACCAAAAAAAAAAATATCCATTTTAGTTATGTGGCTATATTCTGCTAGATTGTAGAAAACTCTACCATCAATAAATACTCAGTTCTGATATGTCAGGGTCTTCTGATTAAAGCAGTTGTATTCTAGGTTCAGTATTAGTATTTTTAAACTTGCTAATTTTTATGTAATTATTCTTCCTGTTAAATTACCTTTTAAAATTGTCTTTTGTTAAACAGTTCGTATTTGGAAAGATCTGGATTATAACTTTGGGCTTGTGCTGAGAAGTACTTTGTAAAATAATACTGGTGTTCAAAAGTAAATTTTAGGGTAGCTACTTAACTAGAAAAACAATTTTTTTCTTTGCCATCTTTCTTGGGGGTTAAGAATGAATGGCGCTTCACTGTCGTCAGTAAAGGAGTAAACTGTCCTCGAGAATCTTTCTTTTTTATTTCTTTGCCTGAAAAAGACCTTCAGTATGATATGATGAAGTTCAGATAAGAGACATTTTTAGGTCTCTTCCTAAAGAATGTCCTAAAAATGGAAAATGAATAGGAACCTAAGAGGAAGTCTTGCATAGTTACCACTGTTGTGACTTTCCATAGAGATAAAATTTTAAATGTCAAAAGCTTGTTTTCTGGTACCTTCAAACCAAATTTTAGATGTTATGCTTCTGTACAATGTCTAAATGGATATGTATACACATTAATATGGAAAGCAGTGTCTATATAAAAAAAACCCAAAAACCTGTGGTTTAATAAGCTGTTTGAAAGACATTGGTTCACTATTTACTACTTGGTGACTTATCTTTTGGGTCTCTTCTCATAATTTTCCATTTTTAAGCTTATCTGAACAGTATACATGAAAACTGAAATGATATCACATCAGTCAAGAAGCTATCATTTGAGGGCTCTAAAGTTTCTTCTCTCCTGCATTTGATTCAGAAGTAGTCTTATTTTCCTTATGCATAGTAGACTCAGCTTACTTGTTCAAACACCTTGTCTCTCCCCACGTGCCAAAACAACCTAAAGTTGTTTTGGATGCTAAATTATAATTTACATAGGACATTAAAATTAACAGTATTTAAGAGCACTTTCATCAAATACAGAAGTATTTTGAAAGATGCAGATTTCCTCAAAAATGCTGTTTTTTCATAAATTCATTGTTAGTTTGGGAATTTGGGCAGAGTAAGATACCTAAACATAATAGTTTCCATGTAAGCTAGATTCACATCAGCTGCCTGTAGGAATCTGAAGCTGGTTTTAGTGTCCTGGGGTGTCCTACTAGGCTTCAACTCTGGGAGAGAAGGCTGTGGATGTTCTGAAGATCTTGACTTACTTGCATGCCCCATGCAGATTTCTTGGATATCCTGTCATGTCTTAGATGGCACCAGCTTGCCCTAGAGTCAGACAAGTGAATCAAAATCAGGAGCAAACTCCCGATATAACTGATAAGGTTTATATGGGCTGCTGGCTAAGTCGCATGCTCTCATGCTCTAGACTTTGGTGACCTTCTCGACCAGGGCTTTTAAAATTTTTCTGCATGCAGACATCTAATACTGTTTGAGACACCACTGGGAACTCCAAGATAGGGAGTGCAGATATGATGTAGCACCTGCATGACACCCTGCACTCGTGGAGTAGCAACTGGAAGGCAGGCAGGATATGGTGGGGTGTCTCAACATGCCTAGATGTTGGCAGTTGAACCGAGATCTGATCAGCAGCTGAGATGCCTACTGCACTTGTGGATGCCTTTAATATATTGGAGTTTATGCGTTTAAGCTGAATCCCACCCTTGGCCTCCAGTACTGCAGCTGATCCTGGGAATGAATATGTACAATTACAGATTCTGTACAGAAGCCACTGAGGCTGCTCGTCAAGGCATGTGTGTATGTACGCAGTCACTTGCAAAGTCATGTTCATGTCCGATAACTCAGTTTACCAATAGGCAAGGATGAATGGTGAAACATACAGTCCAACAATCTGTCTTTTTGTACAGTTTTTTTTAATGGTGGAACTTGGTTTGTCCTTCATAACATGGAGAGTTTGAATTTCAAGATTGAAAGTAGGAAACAGCTAAAGATTTTTATCTAGGTGCCTTCTGGCTTAAAATGCAGTATATTAAAGCAGTTAGTCTTGCTTGCTGACATTTGTCTGATTACTTTAGGGAATGTACCATTTATACAGCTTTTCTTTAAAATGTTTGTTTCCTTTAGTGCAATATGCTTTAAGCTGCAATTAAAATGTTTCTTATACTCAAAAGAATGCTCAGCAGTTTATTATGAGGAAAAATGGTCTTCGAAAGTATAACCTGAAAATTGTGTGAAAGGCAGTCTTCAATGGCAGCCTTTAGATTTTTTTTTTTTAAAAAAATGGTTTGAGCAAGTTTTTAATTTTATTGACTAGTTTTATAGAAAGGGAAATAGTTCATCTCCATCTGAACTTCTTTAGACCTCTGCATTTTTTTTCATAGATAACTTCAGGGATGAGAACTCTATGTTTCTCTATCATACACACCTATTGTAACAGTGCAATTAAGTTTCTTTTATGTAAGTATTGGACCATGTAGGGCTAAAATAATAGCAAGAATTCTGACTATAACAGTTCTGCTTATTCATCTGAAGTGCTTTCCCTGCTTATCACAGAGAAGTGTCATTTGGAATAACTAGTCTTTACAGAAAGTAATTAGGCAGCAAATATGTCTTTGGCAGACTGCACTAATAAACTGGTCACAAAAATACTCTAGACAATGCCTAAAAATTGTTAACAGTTGAGCTGCAGTGGTCAGTTTTACTTGAAATAGAAGCTTCAGACTAGTCTTAATGTGAACAAACATCTGGCCAATCCTAAAGTATCATTAGCTTTCTTTAATTAATCAGAAATTTCTTTGGCATGCATGAGCTCGAAGCATTTATAAGTAAGAGGGGAGAACCAGGCATGGAAAAGATAGTGTAAGTATTGTTAGGAAGCTCCAGTGAGGTCAGTGTAAAAAAGAATGAATGTAAATTAAAGCACTGATAGAAACTGTTAAGATGCACAAGTAGAATAGAGAGTCAGAAGTGTGTGTGCATATATAAAAATATATATTTTTCTTATATCTATATATCTATATCTATATAGATATATATATAAAATAATGTCAGAAGTGCTGTGTTCAATGCTCGTTGACTAATTTTCCCCACTTTTTTTTTTTTTTTTTTTTTTTTTTTTTTTTTTTTTTTTTTTTTTCCTTACTTGAATAGGAGGAACAGTTGGGTTGAAAGGAGAATGCTCAGCTAAGGAAGGACTATGTTTTTCATTCAGGCATACTTTAAATAGGCCATGTCTATTTTACATATGGGTCTGAAACATTTCCTAGTCTGAAGAAATGCGTCTTGTTGAAATCCAGCAGAAAGGTTACACACATCATCCCTTTAAAATGTCTGGATTTGTGAAATACTGGAATTTCAGTTTTCTTTACCCAAAGGGATCTATTGTAACATTTTACTGCAGACCTGTGTTGAAGATAGCTGTAAGGCACCAGGTTATAAATTGGCCACTTGTATTTTCAGATATCACTATTATTTAATTTGATTCTTTATTGTGAATAACTTCTTTTAGAACCATCAGTTATTTAGTAAGTGTTCTAAGCACCACCTGAGTGTGTTAGTCATCTTTTAATTGTCCTGTTTCCACGTTGATACTCAGATATGGAATCCTTTGGTTGGAGTAGGTGCTGACAGGAACCACTGTAGAATCATGTTCCCTTTTCTATATACTCCAATATCTGGTTTGAACTGTTGCCAAAAAGGTGATGATGATTGTTAGTTATTGGGCGTGTGCATCTAGAGCATTTAGAGCTGGGGGGTGTGTGTGTGTGTGTGTGTGTGTGTGTGTGTGTGTGGATAGTTGACCTGTTCTGGGATGTTCCAGCTCAGTGGCTGTATTGTTGGGTGCTGACGTTCTTGAGCAATGTATTCTTCTCAGTCAAGATGGTCTGATATTGGTCTCTTTAGAGCCGTTCCATTGTGTGTGTGGCCATACAAAACCTGCTAGTAAGGAAAGTTATGATACAAACTAAGTGCAATTCTTGTGAAAGTGAGTATGTAAAGTACTATAAAATTAATGAGACTCCTGATCCTAAATGCTTGCATGGGCTTAAACTTCATTTCCATTGTCATACAAAATCAGTGAAGGGACAATTAATACAAAACCAGAAATGCCTATGCAGAATGAAGCATAAAGAAAACGATAGGAGGAAAAAAAAAGTAACCACACTCTTTTTCAGTGGGATTTTTTGATGTAATAATTTATTGCTTTGTTATTTAGCCATGTAGTTTACTAAGGAATATGTCCTTATTACAACTTAAAGAGGAGTCCTGGGTTGTGTTACCACTTTAAATGCTTGGAGTTCTTGCCTTTGTGTTCAAAAGCTATTGAAAATTTGAGGCTGTTTTGCTATTACTGCTAGTTTTCTGTTTTATTCCATATTGAGCTTATTGGTTTAATGTATCTCAAGCTCTGCTTTCTTGCTCAAAACTAAATAGCTTCTTTTGTTTTTAGAAATGTTTGTAATGTGTGGTGCCATGCCTAGTTACTAACTTCAAACAAGCTAACCACTTTGCTAAATGAAGGATAAAATTGTGGGGACTCTTGTTTCAATTTTACAAATTATTTTTGAATGTTACAAACTTATTAGAAGTGGTTAATTTCTAAGTCTTTTTGGTGTCCCTAAACAGGTCTTTTTCTAATCAAGTTAACTTTTTTTTTTACTGTGAATGAAATACCTTTGAGCTAATTATTAAAACAGTTGACAGTGATATAAAAATCTAAACATTTCTGATAAAAGGGGCTCATGTTGCATCATCTTAGAGCAGAAGTGGTATATGTGCACTTAATCACACAAGCTGGTCCCACTGGCTTGATCAGAAGTGCACAGCCTGTGTATTCACAGGAAGCTTTTATGTGTAATAAGTAGCTAACAGATCACTTCAATGCTGGAATAGGCAGAGACATAATTAAGAACTATTAGTTTATTGAGGGGGGGGGAAATATGGATAAGCTCTATTGATAATGCGTTTTTAAAGCATTGCTGATGTTCAGAATTATACCAGAGCAAAAGTATGGGATTAGCTGGTGCATATGTTTTGTCTTTTTGGCATCTGCAATGTGTGTGTATTTCTACAATTCTGAACACAAATCATCTAGTAGCAATGCATATATTTTAGAGAAAACACCTGGTTTTCTTAGTTTTAGAAAAGGTTCATACTACAAGGAAGATGTCAGCTAATTATGAAATGTATGAAGTTGTGGAATTACTGACTTAACACATTTCATTTGTAACTGAAAACGTTGAAGCTATGGGGTGCCACCCTATGAAGTATATACGTAGGACTGGATTCAGTAGAGCATTTGAACACCAATGTAACTGCAAGCATGTGAATAAACCCATTTAAATCAGTTATTCATCTGCTTAAAGTTGTGCATGTGTTCTAACGCTTCTGCTGGATTGACACTTAGGGGGGAGTGGGAGGATTCTCTTTTCTAACTGTTTACCTTTGTAATAGTGTATGCAAGCAGGTTATGTCTGTAGGTTTGTTTTTAAGGACGACTTACTGTAGTTTTCAAAGTACCTTGTATTCTAAAGAAAATTTAGAGCCCTCTTTTAGGCATCCTTGTTCTGCATACAACTTGATTAATATTAATTTTAAACTTGTATTTAATAAAACATAGACTCAGTTTTGTCTGAAAATGTATTACAATTTATTTCTGCCATTTTTGTGTAAAATTTACAGAAACAGTGTTACATCGTGCGCTCCAAAGGTAATGTCTCATTCCTCTAAGGCTGTGTCCTTTCCTTTTCTTCTTTCTGTTTTTATCTTTCTTGTTTTTCTGATCATATTGCTATGTGCATTGAATCCTTTGTTAGGACTGAGGTTCTTGAGGGGGGTGGGTGATAACCTACTTTTATCAAAAAGATGCATTTCTATTCAGCGGTATCTTAAACCACTTTAAACTTCAGTGAAAAAAGGTATTTCTCCCTCTGTAAATAACTTGGATAATAGTACATATTATAAGGCAGATTTTGAATGGTTTAATTTATAAAAAACCTGTATAGAAATGTTATAATAAAATAGTATTTGGGGGGAGGAGCTCATCACGACCCTAGAGTTCTATAGTGCAAGGGCTGTAAGTAGGTTTTCTCCTGATTAAGTTTTGAAGCCAAAGTGAGTGTTCAAGGATTGAAAGGCAGAACATATGCAGAAAACTCTGATGTGGTCTCTTAAAGTGCATGTTTGCAGAATAAATGTCAGGTTACCACCCTAACAATGAGATGAGAAAACTTTTGAAAGCACAAGGAGGAGTTGGGTTTCTGCTTCCCATAGGGAGCCTCGTAAGTCACCTAACTAACTCCTCATCGTGCATTTAAAAAGCTTTCTTTTTGGATAATGCTTTTCCTTCTGTTTTCACTTTATGAACAAGTAAATGAGAAGAATCCTATCCATTTTATCTATCAAATTCCCACTGTAATGGAAGAAACATCTAAATGAGTTTTAATGTACCAACTATCCCTTTCTTTGCTTATTGAGTACTAGTCTAAAGAAAGTACATGCTTAGGTAATTTGCTTAATTGGTCTTCAAGTGCTGCTGCAGCATGGCAGGAGCACATTACTACAGCATTCAGATCAAGTGGGTTTGAACCTATTGCTGTTTATAGCTAATTCTGAGCACTAAGTTTTGTTTATTGTTTCATGGAAGTAACCCGCTTTTATTTTTTCACTACTTGAAATCAGCTTTATAATCAAGCCTGCTTAAACTGTTTACTTAATATCAGGTTTTTAATGCAGTTACCTTTTGCTTATAGAACTTCAAAAGCTGTAAGAATTTTTGTTTGTAGAAATATGCTGTATTAGGAAGGGAAAAAGAAAGAACACCCCCTACTATTGAGAAATTGTCATCTTGATAGCATTTCTTTCCCTGTGTTAAACCAAAGAAGTTTTCTGTATTATTATGGTATTACAGAAGTGGAAGGTCAGTTGGCATTTGGAGCTTAAAAAAAAATCAAGAGTGTAAACACTCCCGATTGACGTTTCCATCTTTTGGCATGTGTTCCAGCACTGCAGTGTTTTGAGTTCAAAACTTGAGTGAAGACCTGTGCTTAAAAAGTAGTATTTTATCATAGCAGTGAAAAACTGACTTCATTGTACCACATCCATATTAATCATAAATTTAGAAAAAGCATCTGTGACTATTCATTTTGAGAGAGGGGAGTTCACTGGAAGAAGGCTAAAGGCAAAGTAGTGCCTGGGGAGGAGAGAGGAAGAATGTTTTCAAATATTAAAATAGTGTCAAATGCAAATTATCTTGACTTTTTTTTTTTTTTCTTCCCCAATATATAAGATTAATGGAAGTTCTGATGTACCTTACTGAATTTGTCTGAATAGCAAGGTTTCCTGTGCAACATTATGCAGGCTTACTTGTAGAAGTAATTTCCTTTATTTCTTGGAAGAGGATACAGAGAAATACCAGGTCATAGCACTGTCATCAATAAGGTGCATCTTAACATATAATTATATATGCACAGCCTTGAATATTCCAATCTGAAGTCAACTCAGAAATTTGGCATAACTCCAGATACCTTTTAGGATAGTGTACAAAATGTAATGCAGTTGCATTTCTCTTTCAGGCTAGAAACAGCTAAACATGGGAAGCTGAAACATAGGGAGGAAGTCTGCATTTATCACAGGAGTAAACTGTAGGGTAGCATATAATGTCTGCTTGCATTGTGCTGCTGTTGCTTTTGGGAAGCCTGTGAGCTTATGAGCTGAAGTGCTGTAGTCTTGACGGTTAAAGGCAATATTGCTTTGTGTTCTGAGTGATGAGGCCAAGCCAGTAAATGCAGAGTAAGAAAGAAGCAGGGGGGTGGGAAGCAAAGAATCTATCTCATCTGTTAACTTTTCTTTTTTTTTTTTTAAATAAACTGTGACTTTGAAATGTAAGAACCCAACAATTTCAGAAACACTTAAGTTCCACTAGTAACCCAGTATGTATTGCCAAATTGTATCTTCTCTGATTAGCAATGTTAGTTATATATGAATGTGTATTTAAATACACTTTGAAAATTGTTTATTGCATGCATAAAATGATACTTGGTACAACATTCAAGTATGCACAGTTAGCTAAACTTCAAACAAATTTCATATAAAAGATTAAAAAATCTGTGAAGTTTTTTTAATTCCATGTATGTAACTGGATTTTTTTGCTATTTTTTTTGTCTTACCTTCACCTCTTTTCTTTTTTCTGTGCCATTCTCCTCTTTTACTTCATCTGAACCCCTGATTATTTTTTTTACCATCTTACCATCTTGCTGTTTGTCAAACAGAACAACAAAACCTGCTCCTCATCTTGATGGGTAAGAATCTTTTATAGTTTCTTCAATGATGGCTAAAATTTGAAGGTTATAAGTCTTCATGTGTTATGTTGGAAGTGGACAACAATGGGGAAACATTCCTAATTCTGTGAAAGATTATACAATAGGACAAGATGGAAAACAGAAGTTTTAGTTCTGTAAAAATTTCAAGTTGCAATTTGTTTCCTAAAACTGATCAAAAACTTGGAAGGTCTTAAATCCTAACATTATTTCTTTAAAACTGGTTGATACCCTCACTCCATAAATCAATGAGTTGAAATGTCAAATTTAATATATTTGGATAGTACTTTCTTTTGTGGCAGGTTTTTATGAAGTATGAGGCAAATGGAAGGAGGAAAGAGAAATGTGGTATGGTAGAATAAAACTGGGGATTCCTTAATTAGAACTGTCCCTGCAATGCCAGTGGGAATTTGTATGCTGAGTTTGTATAAACCTATAAATGCTTCTTTGGGGAAACCTGAGCTTCTCTGTCATCTTTATGTATGGGTTCTTGGTCTCCCTGTCATGAAATTTCAAGAAGAGAAGGATGGAATAGAAATGATGATCTTTTTATCCTGCCTGTATATTACAGAGTAGAATAATACCAAGTATTTGTCTTTGAACTGGAGTGGACCTCTGTTTCATATTTCATGAAATCTTAGCATTGTCATAAATGTAAAAGTAATAAAAAGCTTATTTTTAAGTTTAATGCATTTTAAGAGACAGATGATGTCAGTGCAGCCTAATGTTTCTATTTCAGAATGCCTTTTTTGAATCTGAAATTAATTGGAAAATAATTACAGCAATATATAAATGTTTGTACTTTTCAAATATTTTATTTCTGCAGTGTACATGTTGTCTTTGGACTCGTTATTTCTGGTTTTGAAGTAATAGAGCAAATAGAAAATCTGAAAACTGATACTGCAAGTAGGCCCTATGCAGATGTACGAGTTATTGACTGTGGGGTGCTTGTTACAAAATCAGCAAAAGATGGTAAGCATGCATGTACCTGAAGTTAATTGAACGTTGACACTGTTTTCAGAGACTATAAAAATTATGTCAGTGTCTGAAAATCGTTATGGCAAATCTCTAGAGTCCTAATTCTTACAATCCTTTAAAACTTAGTTCTTGGTCTAGCTGAGGAAGTGACAGAAATGGAAAAGGTTTTCTGACCTATACCTTTGTGCCTTGGAAAATGTATGCCGCCTTCCTCTTCTCCTTAATTACTGTTTGGGGTTAATATGGGATACTCAAAAAATAAAGAGAAGATATTTTTCTATTATTGAGTTTGAAAGTTGTCTCAGTTTGAAAGATGGCGACACAAACATATGCTTTTCTTGAGGTTGAATTTTGTGCAGTTTCCAAAGCTTCATTTTAAGACCATGTAATGTTAATACATGTGGTATATGTAATCAACATAATTTTCCTTTTCATGAGAATTCATAGGGAATAAATTATCTTAAATATATGTTTGGACAGTTGATGTACAGTAGTGGAGTGTTATAAGTTTCTGTTTTCTACTTCACTTCAGACTTTTCGTAAGGATAATGTGCTTGTTTATGTCCTTTAGAGAAAGTCAAGAGAATAGATAATGTAAAAGTATGAAGATGCAGAAAGGGAAGAATGACAGAATTTATTTAAAAATCAAAAATATACTACTGAGGCTATGACTAACTTTTTCTTAAACTTTGTTTTGTAACCTGTGCATTGCTTTCTAATTTTTTTTTTTACTATAAATGGTCTTTGTTTATCTGTGTATTCTCTTCTAGTCTCAAGGTGTGAATTCAGTGTTACAATCTAAAATACCTTTTTCAAAGGAGAAAAGGGGAGGAAGCCTCCTTCTTAAAATTACAGTTTTTCCTCAGCCTTTCTTTATATAAGCTTGGCACAAGTTAATGTTCAACTTCAGTTACAAACTTGCTGTGTATTTAAAAATGTTTTGGCTCTACAGTGATATGACTTCTTAATGTGGTGGAAGTTGTGCATGGAAGTTCTTACAATTTACTTCATAGCAACTGAAGGAATTTTTCTGCAGCTATCTTTGCTGGAAAATATTGTAGCATTTTATTGGTATGGGTTTAGACTGGACCCAGTTATATGACATTTTATTATTGTACTTTAATGCACCTCATTGTGAAAAAAGTTCAGCTCCTCTGAAGCAGTACATGTGTGTTTGCATACATATATAACATTGTATATTTTGTGCTGTATATATGCACATGTGCACACTGTAAATTTAAAATATCTGTTTTAAGCTTTGGAGAAGAAGAAGAAAGTGTGTTCCGAGTCAGAAGCTTCAGACTCCTCCTCCAGTGCATCAAGCTCTTCAGAAACTTCATCTGAAAGTGAAGCTGACAATGAAAGAAGCAGAAGAAGAAAACGTAAAAGAAGAGTTAAAACCAAACAATCAAGAAAACGAAGAAAGGAAGAGATAAAGAAAGAGGATCCAAAGTGCAAGCGAACCTCAAACCAAAGATGGTGACTAGTCTCTTAAATTAAAGAATTTCAGAGAAATTTGAGAAATTCTACTTTGTCTTCACGAAATACTCAAGTAATGAATATAAAAATGCTTTTATTTAAATTTGGATTTTGATGCTTGATTTTATAAACAGAGCCAACCAATCAAACAGGAAAAACACTGAAACAGAGCTTGTTGAGTAGATTTTTCCATTAAAGACTTTAAGATCTTTGCAGATAGAAGCTAGAGTGACTTTGAAATGAGTAAGTCTCAGCATTTTAAACTCAGCATACCTGTGTTTAAGTGAGACATTAGGCAAATAATAGATATTTCATATATCTTTGATTGTATTTTTTAAATAGTTCTTGACAATTGGCAAATTAGAAGCAAAATTATTTGCTGTAAAGTAAGAACTGAACCTCTTTCCTTTAGCTTAAAATGGATTGTTAATGAAACATGGTTTGGTTGTTAAGCCACCTTAGATACATTGTGTGGGCTTGTCTTGGAATTCACTTTGGAAAGTGGTGTTTATTGGTTGAGGGCTAATTTTTATTTATCAACTTGTTTTTCCCCATAGCAGTCTCTCTGACAAGAGTGATACAACAGAAAAAACAGTCGATGTTAGCATAAAGAGGGACAAACCTGTGGTACGTCCTGAAGAAATTCCCCCAGTGCCTGAAAATAGATTTTTGCTAAGAAGAGATGTGCCTGTTGTCAATGTAGAACCTGAACCGTAAGGAACCATTGAGCTTTTTTATTATATTGACTTGATGGAAACTATGCATAATTTTTTCCCACTAATGTTCTATTATTAGTATTAATATTAAATGATAGCTGTAGTGTCAGAATTTCTAAATTAGATTATTTAATCATCCTTTTTACAGTTTTCTTTGTAATATTCCTTACAGCCTGGCTTTTTCAGTGAGATCTAATGAGTTAGTTTCATTGGTCTTTACAGGTCATACATATTACGACCTTAAACTCAATTACAGATGATGCAAAAAAAAAAAGTGAGTAGTTCCAGAAGAAATTTTGCAATGTAAACCACAGCAGTGTTTGATTGCAAAGGAAACTTGTGTTTGGGAGAGGTGACTTTTCATCTTTCTTACACTGAAGAAGCAATTTTGGTTCAAAATCAGCCAACTAGATTTTTATGACTTATGTTACGATTTTTGAAAATAAGATAAAGTGAGTTCAGTTACTTTTAGTTCGTGTTTTGCACATCTACTAATTTGGAGTTATGTTCTTTTTCTAATTTAATTTCTTGGCTTTTGGACTCAGATGAGCTAATACATTACACTGTCAGATATCTCTAAAATCACTTTGGGCTTTTCCTATTTCAGTTAATGGTATAGTCTCCTGTAAGTCTTTTCTTGAAGCCTTACTCATGCTTCCAAAGCCTTAGTAACTGCTTCTTTCAAGGATATTACACAAACTGTAAAAAGGAGTGCTGAATTACCTTTTACTTGGGAAAGCAGCAAGGCTTTAGTACCTGTGGACTGTGGTGCTTGTGTAACTGCAAATATCCTGAAACTCTTCTGTCCGTGTTGTCTCTTGTGATCTGTGCACCCAATGTAAGTCAGCTTCTTCAGAAGAGCCACCTACCGCTTTGACAGAGTACTTTGCAAGTTCTTTGTTAGCATTTATTTACACATAGGCTAGTCCTTTAGTCAAAACCAAGTGTATGTTGATTTGTCTTTTGTTGCAGAACTGTAGGTCTTTATTTCTTGGAGAATTCACTGAATTCTTAGTTCTGCCACCTCAGAATAAATGAGTAAGATTAATATTTTGCGTGATTAACTTAAAATTGAATTAAGTTAATTTTTTTTTTGTTTTTTTCATGGAAGCTGATATTTTATTAATTTATGTAGGAAGCTTCTTGATGCTACACCAGTTCTGACTGACCAGAAACCATCAGTCTCTAAATCTGGACGAAAAATTAAAGGAAGAGGCACAATAGTATGTGACAATTTTTTTACTGTATTCTGTTTTTCTTTCCTCTCATCCAGAGTATCTTGTCTGACCTTGATAAGACCTTTTACTCTGCTCCACTCATGGGATTTTCTTGTTGTTTCTGTTAAGTGTTAAGGCTGTAACGTGTAACAGTAGACAGAGGTGTTCCACAGTGTCCTAAGTGTATGCAGCCCTGTCTGATGTGTATTACTTGTCCTTCTGAGTTCTAGTATTTGCACCTTCTGATGGTTGTTCAGACATTGCTGAGAAACAACAGTTTTGTTGGCAACTTCGGCAGAATTACATTGTTTGTTCTGCTTTTTGACATTTTTAAGTCAACTTCTCGTTTCCTTTTTTTAGCTACTTAATGTATTTTGTCAGGTTACATCAGCTGTGCTGGCTAAGACCAAGTCTGTAATTTCATAGATGACACAGCAGGGACAAGAAGTTACTACTTTGCAGTTCTGGTAGTAAAGCATTTTTACAGATTTGCAGACTTGGTCCTTTTTTTTATTACCTTTCTCTCTGAAGACTGCCAACTGTTCATGCAGATTTAATTTCTACCTCAGATCCTGAAGACTTGTCTTAGTTCCACTGTACTCAAGCAAAAGTGTTCTCTCTTCTGTAATAATCCAGAATACAGAGCCCAAAGCACTGCACAGCTACACTGTTTTTCAGTCAGTAGAAGAGGGAGAAACCAAGAGAAGCTTTTATAATTGCACATTTCATTCGGGTATATTTTAAATTGTAGCATGCTGTGACTGAGCATATTCTTCCCCTTTAAAACAATTTATCGGGCAGTATTTGGGTAATCATAAACCAAACCAAGTCTTGGTCCACAATTCTTTTGCAAAAGAAAAAAAAATTATTTTTTTTTATATATATGGAGATCAAGCTCTGTATATAGCTGAAGACGCTTTTCATTGGAATAGTCTTAATAGAAACTCCTCTGACCATGATTTTCTTATGTGATAGCCACTGGATTTGAGAAGTACTTTTCTACTGATGCCCATGATGCAATTATTTTAAGCCACAGAATGAACAGCTTAGATAGCTGTAGCATTGACCAAGGTACTGTAGTGTTTGATCTTCACCTGAGAACTGACCCTTGTTTGGCAGCCTTGACATTAAATCCGATAGCTGTCTTTGCTGCATTTGACAGCTTTCATTTGTATTTGACACTTCTGATAGCCATTAAAGGAAGCCTTTTAAACTGAATGTTTTTAAATATATATGTAATTTTTTTAAAAAAAGCTTAAAAAAAAGCTTAACGTTGAGTGGAATTTGCTTTTGCTAGGGATTTGGGTGTCTGTGTCTTGTTTTTCCTAATTTTGGCACTCTTGGCAAAAATAAGACTGAGAAGCAGTAATATAAAAAATAATTTAGGGCTAGCAATTAGTTGGAGAAATACATCTTTCTCCCATCTCTAATTAGTCTGATTAGCAACTGTTTCTGTCCAGGGTGAGTGAGTTTAATGTTTTTCAAAATACTTGTTTAGTTTTGAATCCTCTTAAGTTCTGAGAGACTCCTAAGTCTAATGAGGGAGAACTACGGAGGTCCATGAAACCTTTGCAACTTACTAAATGCCATTCCATCTGTAAAGGTTTTTTAAAGTAGTCATTGCTTCAGCTCAAAGGCTAGGGAAGCTCTAAATCCTTATGGCAGGTTATCTTTATATTTTTATGTAATCAGGATGTCTTAAAGACTTATGCCTGTAATTAACCAATACATGTATCTTTCTGGTTTAATTCTGGGGGGCAATTTTTCTTTTGTTTTCACATACTGCTTACTTTTGTAAGTGGCTCAAAATAATTGAGGAAACCTTTGAGTCAAGGAGCATCTAATTTCCTCACAAAATTTACCTAAGTGTATCCAACTGGATAATGGAAAATAATGAGTTAGCAATATTAGAGTTTCTTTTCTCTGTTGCACAAGTAGCTCTTATTGCCTACTTAAATGCTGTGCCTAAGTATAAGTTTTTAAGTATTAAGCTTCATTACACTTCTGTGAAGGGTTTTTTTTTGCTTGAAGGTGTCTTAAACTGGATTCCTATTTCTGAAGAGCTGAACAGCCATAGCTTTTGAAACAGGGCTTGTCTTTACTCATACAAACAGTTAAGTGTCTGCTAACTGAAGTAAAACATCTGTGCTTTAGTATCCTGAAAAAAGTTGGTTATCTGCAGTAATTGTGTTATTACAAAATGTGTTACCTAAAGGGGATCCATGACTGCTTCCTTGAGTCTTAAATGTTTTCAAAAAAATTGATTAGCTGCTAGCCCCTCTCAAACTTTGTGAAGTGTTCTCAGAGTACAAAAAGATACAGTTAGCTATGTAATCCAGTCTCACATGTGGGATATACGCATACCAAAAGTGGGTATTTTCGGCAGGAAATCTAGAATTAGTGTTTTCTTCATGGACTTTGTGTGGGTAATGTTATCTGACTTGTGTTATGAAGGTGCATGTAAAATCTGTATAAGAGGCACCATATATTTTCTATATTATTGTGTCTATTAAAGAAAAATGTATTGTGTATCTCTCTTTGTTTTCATAGCGATATCACACACCACCTCGATCACGATCATGTTCTGAATCCGATGATGATGAGAGCAGCGAGACCCCTCCTCACTGGAAAGAGGAAATGCAGAGATTACGAACGTACAGACCACCTAGTGGAGAAAAGTGGAGTAAAGGCGATAAGTAGGATCCCAACCATAAATTTAAAATGTCTTGGTTTTATACACAAGCTTGAATAGATTGTGTGGATGTACCACATCATTCATGTTTGAATAAAAATATGTAAATATCTTTGTGGTTAACATACTCCATTTAAATTCCAAAAATGAGAGTAGAAAATTTTCTTAAAACCTTTCTACTTTACTAATATGACATCAGATGAACACATGCTGTAAAATGTCAGAAGAGTTGTTTCTGATGGTGCCATCTTGGATACTTATTTAAGAAGTAATTAATATACCTGTTCAGTTTCCTGTTGATTTCCATAAAGCTAGTCATGTCAAATTTCCTTTAGCCTCGACCTTGGTTATATGGTTTCTTCGGTTACCAAATAAGACAATCAGATCCATCAATCCTATACTGTTTTAGTTGTATATTCTTTCTGCAGTTGCAAACTGATGGAAGCCAGCTCCAGAATTTCTTGATACCAAAAATAAGCTTCTATCAAATTATGATAGATAAACCTCAAAAGGAAAACACAAGCATATTAAATATAATCATTATTGAATAATGGCAAATGTTTCTGATAGTCTTTTAGCTGGTACAGCAGTAAACTGAACACAGTTATATAGTGTTATATATAGTTATATATTTTAGTTATAAAAAGAACTAAATAAGATGGTTATTTAAACATGGTTTAAGAATCCGATATTTGTAGGGTTTCAAGTTCTGTGGACTAGAGTAGTCAAAGCATGAAATCTCTTTACACAGGTTCTACAATATGCAAAATTTGCTGATGTTGGCTGATTCATTTCTGAGAGAAGTAGCTCTCCTGATAGTATATGTAATTCTATATCTTAAAAAGAGCGTAACAAGCTCAGTCAAAACACAGTTGTCTGGTAGTAAAGGAAGGGGTGGGTGTGTGTGTGAATTTTTTATAAACTTAATTCCATTGGAGGTGGGGAAAATACTTAGTTTATCTGAAGTTTATAAAGTATTTTCACTTAGTGCTTTGTTTTTCTAGGTTGAGTGACCCATGTTCAAGCAGATGGGATGAAAGAAGTGCATCCCGGAGATCAAGATCTTGGTCACATAACGGTTATTCTGATCTAAGTACCGTGAGATATTCTAGCCATCACAAAAAACACAGAAAAGAGAAAAAGAAGGTGAAACATAAAAAGAAATCTAAAAAGCAGAAACATTTCAAGAAGCACAAGCAAATGAAAAAAAAGAAAACATCGGCCTCATCAGATGTAGAATCCTCTCATTCATTCCTCAGGAGGACAAAGTCATCGTGTGATCGTGAGAGGAAATCTCGTTCTTCTTCATTGTCTTCTAGGCATTCATCCAGAAGAGACTGGTCTAAATCTGATAAGGAGGACCAAAGCTCATCAACTTTATCAAGCAGAGGGACTCGGTCATACTACAGGTCCAGGTCTAGATCCAGATCTAGGTCTAAATCAAGATCTTATTCCCGTAGAAGTTCTAGATCAAGATCAGCGTCTAAATCATCGCGTTCTCGAAGTAGGTCAAGGTCAAGTTCTAACCCTAGGGGTCAAAAGAGAGTTTCCAGTTCTCCACGAAATATTTCAACTCGATTAAATGAAAGCAAGTTGAACAAGACTTCTGATCCTGTAAGAGCAGTTATACTTCCAGGTGATAAAGTTGTTGTACCACCAGTTGTCCCAGAAAACCTCCCTGTTATACCCCTAAGTGATAGTCCACCACCTTCAAGGTGGAAACCTGGACAGAAACCATGGAAGCCATCTTATGAGCGAATTCAAGAAATGAAAGCTAAAACAACCCATTTAATACCCACACAAACTAATTACAATTTAGTAGTCACTAAAGAGGCTAACACTTCTTCCTCACACTGTAAGCGACAAAGTCCAGATAGCGATCGAAGCGGTTATTCCAAATATCGTAGTGAGAGAAGCTCAGACAGTTGGCTGAGATCAAGAAGCAGGTCCTCTCAAAGTAGGTCATACTCAAGATCTTATACAAGATCTAGAAGTCCATCTAGCTGTAGGACAAAATCTCATTCTTCTGGCAGATCGCCATTACTGAGTAAATACCATAGTGACAGGTCAGGTTATAGTGAGTCAACATCTTATTATTCCCTTAGTGATGATGATAGACACAGAAACAAAAGAAAATCCGCATCAAGTGATCAAAATGCTCGGTCTCTTAAATTGAGGCAAGAAACAAGCTCTGAAAGTACGCTCCCTTATAATTGTACAAAAGACTATGATGAGTCTTCTCAAGGATTGAAAGAGAGTGACAGTTTATCATCTTCAGACTCCTCTACTGACAGCGAGCATTCTGCCAAAATGAAAGCAGTCCAAGAGAAAGAAGACCGTTTTCAATTAGAAGGAGATAATCAGAAACAGGATAAAAATAGCTTAAGTTCTGAGAGGAGGGGGGGGAAATCCAAGTGTGAAGGAGATTCTGATCATGCTAAAAAGAAAGCAGCTAAGGAAAAATCTTCTGAGCAACCTAGAGGTGGTGCAAAAACTAAACGAAAATCCTATTCAGGTAGTAAATGGGACTCTGAATCAAACTCTGAACGAGGAGATGCAAGACATAACAGGGGAGATTCCAGACCCTCCTCTAGTAAAGAAGAAGGAGAGGCCACATCAGGATCTGATACAGAACTTAGTGTTACCAAAAGGATAAAAAACCAATCAAATTCTTCAGAAGGCTTTCTGGATTCTGATGGTATGTGGAAGACAAGCAAACAGTTGTCATCTTCTGAATCTGAGAGTTCTTGTTCTAGCTCAACAAACATTAGAGGAAAGTCAAAGAAACACAAACACGGATCAAAAAACCCTCTTAAAAAATCACATTCAAAAAAAGCAAAAGAAAAGTCAAAAGGGAAAAAGGAGAAGAAACACAAAGTTCAGAAAAGAAAAGAAATGTTTCATTGGCAGCCCCCCCTGGAGTTTGGTGAAGAAGATGATGATGAGGTAAATGAGAAGCTGGTTACTGAGGATGATAAAAAAGAAAACCAACTTACTGGGGACGTAAAGGATAAAAACCAAATTTATGAAAAAGAAGAAATAGTCAAAGATAAAATTGGAAATGGTGAAAAGTGTGCAGATGAAAACCTTTTAGGTGGCAATGTTACATGTGATGCCTCACCAGATCACAGTAACATGAATAAAGATAGCATTGAAACAGATGCTTCAAACAGTGCTTTAAACTCAGGAATAAATGTGACCACTTGCAAGAATGAGATAAAACAAGTTGAGGAAAGTAACCAGAACGGATTGGAAGATGTGATTCAGACAGATGACAGCATGGAGATTTGTACTCCAGATCGTAACTCACCAGGGAAGGTTGATGTGGACGTTTTGTCTCCTGTCATTCTCACTGCTAAACCTCAGGCTTTAAGTGCTAGTATAAACGAAGATTTACAGGTTGAAACCCCTGAACAAGATGCTGTCAAACCAGGAAACAATATTACAGACTTCAGTATTAATAAAGAAGAAAAAGAAACAGGAAGACAAGAAAATAACTCTGTCCCTGTGCCCAGTGCTAAAGACTGTAATCTAAAAAGTGAAAATACTGAAAATACACAAAGTGGTACGATAGATAATAAATGGAAGCCTTTGCAAGGTGTTGGTAATTTACAACCAGCACCAGTTAGTACTGCTGCAGAAGTTAAGACCGTAGCTTTAGCACCAGAGCCTAAACCAGCTGGTTTAAGAATTGAAATAAAAGCTAAAAATAAAGTAAGGCCTGGATCTCTGTTTGATGAAGTTAGAAAAACAGCACGGCTAAATCGAAGGCCAAGGAACCAAGAAAGTTCTAGTGAGGAAGAATCTCCAAACAGAGATGACAATAGCCTGTCCAGGAGTCTCAGTAGGTCACGAAGTAAATCTGAATCGAAATCCAGACACCGAACAAGGTCCATATCCTACAGTCACTCAAGAAGTCGATCCCGAAGTTCTACATATTCATATAGGTAAGAAGTTTGTGTTAGTCCCACAGCCTACCGTGTTAACTTGAAAGTTCTGATATTTTTAAGGCGTGTTTTTCAACACATGTTTTCCTTTCAAACGGCACTGTATCATTTAGCAGGTATGGAATAAATATTTAGCTTAAAAGATAAAGCTTTATAATGTTATTGCTTCCTGTTCTCTGCTGTTTTCTTCAGTTATATTCTGTTATGTGCTTTTGAAAGTTGTTCATTGATTGCAGGTCAAGAAGCTATACAAGAAGCCGAAGCAGAGGATGGTATAGTAGAGATTGGTCAAGAAGTCGAAGTAGTTCTTACCACAGTTACAAGAGTCGTAGGTAAGTTTCTGTAATTGGAGATAGTGTTGGGGTATATTACAAAACCAGTAAATTAGGCCTAGCAGAATGATGCTTCAGTCTCTGAGGGAGTTGGAAATGTGCTTAGCTACGCATACTGCAGTCTGAATTATCTACTTGAAGTGTGCGAGTTTGAATAGTCAGATTTCAAAATTTCCTGTTACTGAAAATAATTTTGTTTTAATGTTTGGTAGTATGGATAAGGAGTTCTGAGCAAATCGTGTTCCTCTCCTTTTGCTCCCCTCTCCCCATGCTCTCTTCGGCACTTGATTCTGATTAACTTAAAATGTCTCTGTTTTTGTCAGTCGGACCTATAGTAGAAGTAGATCCAGAAGTAGTTCCTATGGTCATCACAGTCGATCCAGGTATGGATTATAGTTTTATACAAACTCTGTGATAAATGTACTTATTATAAAAATATCTTAGTAGAAGAATACCCCTTTATCTATGGTATTTAAAAATATACTATCATGATAGCAAGTATAATCAAAGCTAAATCAGCATAAGATACTTAAAAGCTGAAAATAACCAAATCATAATGATATTACAGTTATAGATGATGATATAAGTAATGCTGAACACATTTCCCTTTATTGTTAAAATAAGAATGAGTTATAAATGGAAGCACTTTGATACTTGTTTTCAGAAGTATTAGTGAATGAGATTTTTACTGCATCTACAGTTTGTACAGAAGACACAAAACTTTTAAAATGCTTAGTAAGTCTTTATAGATTAATAAATGAGACATTTTTACAGTTGTTTTGAAGATATTTCTTGTCCTGGTTTCAGCTGGGATCAAATTAATTTTCTTCCTAGTAGCTGGTACAGCGCTGTGTTTTGGATTCAGTGTGAGAGTAATATTTGATAGCTCTGATGTTTCAGTATTGCTAAGCAGTGCTTATCCTAAATTAAGAGTTTGTCAGTATTCTGCGCTCTGCCAGTGAGCATGGCCAGGAGAGCTGACCTGATCTAGCTATGGGGCTACTCCATACCATAGAATGCCATGCCCAGTGTATAAACTGGGGGGAGCTGGCGGGGGGGGCAGATCGCTGCTTGGTCAGCAAGGGGTGAGCAATTGCATTATGGATCACTTGTCTTTTCCTGGGTTTTATTTATTTCTTTTGTATTGTATTCCTTTTCATATTGTTCTTACCTCAACCCATGAGTTTTCTTTTTTTTTTTTTATTATTCTCCCCATCCCCCTGGGAGGGAGGAGGAGTGACCAAGTGGCTGCGTGGTACTTAGTCGCTGGCTGGTGTTAAACCATGACATTTATTCTTGTATTTAAACTTTTATAAAATGTAGAATTACTGTTTGCCACGTCATTCAAAAGTAATTTCTACATAGCTACTCATCTCTGTATATGTGTCTTTAAAACCTACATTTAAAATAAATAGCATTTTAGACAAGAAATTGTAAATTTACAATTGCTTTCTTTTCCCTTAAAGTAGGTCATACACGTATGATAGTTACTATAGCAGAAGTCGAAGTAGAAGTAAAAGGAGTGACAGCTACCGAAGATCTAGAAGTTATGACAGGCGATCCAGGTATGTTTGTGCTAGCACGACTTTGTATTTATGCAAAAGAATTTGCTAAATACATACTTACGATTGTGAAGGCTAAAGTTTTCTTCCCTCCAAGCATAAAAAATACATTGTTACCAGAAGTAATAATTAAAAACAATTAAAATGAGAGCATTTGTGTGAGTGACGAAATTAGGATTTCTGACAAACTAAATTTGAGGATGGGGTAGAAACTAGGATAAGAAAGATTTGAGAAGTCTCCAGTTCATTGTGTGTATTCATTCAAAATAAGCATGTTTGGGGTTTTTTCTAATAATTATAAATGTTTCTTAAAAAATACAATGAACTAGCTCTCAAGGTGTAAATAGAGTGCCCTGTTATGCATTAAAAGCCACCTGGTATGCAAAGAATTCTGTTAGATGGTGAATTCTTTCTGGTTAGACTGCAGAAGTGGATTAAAAAAAAATATCTGGAAGGGAAATTAAAAATTGCAGTACTACCCAGAATTAATTTTTAACTTTGTAGAACGTAAAAGACCTGCAAATCCAGTGTTCTTCTACTGAATTTAGGATAAATTTTATCCTACTGAGTCAGGGGGAATTATATAGGTGTAAGTGATCGCGTTTCACAAAGATCAGAAGTGGAACAGGATAGAGAGATAGTGAATGTCAATGATGATTTGGTTTATCCCATATTAGTCACTGGTAAATCAGGCAGATCTCTTAAGACTACTGTAAATTTTCATCCTCTGCTGTCCTCATACTCATTTTTTACAACTTTGAATGAACTCTTAACAGACTTGCTCTCACCCATTTCCCCATCTAGTTCTCACAGTAAAACGACTTTCATCTTGTGTTTGAGGAGAAATTAATGAGATTAACGAAGAGTGTGGAAATAAGACTTAACAAAATCAGTGTTTCAGAATGTTGGGAAGCTTCAGAGTAATAGTGTTGGATTAGGATAGGCCATCTTTTGATTTAGAAAACTTTCCTTACAGACACAAGGCTAGAAAATCTCTAAGAGTTTATTCTGTGTAATTTGAATATGTCCTGTGGTTTGTTTGAAACCATATGGACTCTGTCTTGATGTTTGGCCAGATGCTGAACTTGGAATTCTTCTGGATAAGCCAAAACATTTTAATCTACAACTTGCACTTTGCAGACACTCACACTCCTGTTGTTATGGGACCTAATTCTTAAAGGCCCTTCCTCAAAAGAAAACTGCAATATATAAAGTAGGGGTTTATGAAATTGTATTAGTTGAGAAACACAATGTAAAATTATATTTGTTAGGATATACTTCTCAGTCAGCTATTAGCACTTACAAAAATAGTTTTTTTGGATTATTTCTTAGCAGTTACAGAGAAGGCAATAAAATCTTGGTAGTTACAAACACAGTTTGACTTGTTACACAGGTTTTTCATCATGTAAAGTTCATGATTATTTTGATTTTCAGTTTCCCTTAATGAATACTTCAGATATATGAGATATGATCCTGTAAAAGACGTATGTTTTTTTCTTGTTTTGTGTCTGTCTTGACTTTTTTTTTTGCATGATACAATTTTGAAATTGAAGCTAAAAATACAATTTTGAGGCATTTTAATCTTCTCTTTATAGATCTTATGGCTCTGACAGTGAAAGTGATCGCAGTTACTCTAACAATCGAAGTCCCAGTGAAAGCAGCAGATATAGCTGAAAACATTTTTTTGATGATGATGAAAACTGTATTTAATGATTTTTTCAGTGTTATGTTAAAAACTGTTCTGACAGTGTCACGAGTGAAGTTGAAGAGTATTTACTGAGTTAGCTGGAATTTTACCATTCAACAGTGAACTCACTTGACTGTATACTTATGGAGAGAAGTACTGAGCTCGACTCAAAAATTTCAAAATCAAAAATCAGTTATGTCAAATGTTACTTTTACAAAATGGGGGAGAAAAACCCCAGTTTTATTTCCTTGAAAGGGATTTTCCAAGCCATGAATGTCACTTAGACGAATTTGCTGCCACCACTTTTCTGGGTTCAGCAATCAGTACTGTCTTCAAGTATGTTTATAAACACCTTAGGGGTTTCTGCCTGTTTAATATTAAATATATGCTATCAAATATAAAACTGTGAAGAAAACTTCTTACAAAAGCTGCCATTTCTAGTTTATTAAAATGCTTTTTTTTAGGGCTGGAGGATGGGTTCCATGCTGTCTTATTTGTTGATTATTGCATTATATACAGTATATACACAACAGCCAGGTGATGAAAAGAGACTGCCACTCTGTCTTAATCCTCACTGTACTGTGATATTACAGAAGTCTGCTGAAAGGGGTGAGATTATGCACAATGGGAATTGTCAAACTGACAAGCAGTGAACAGAAGCGTGGTGAATGAATGTTGATCTTAATATCCAACTTGTCTAAACTTTTATGTTTTAAAAGTGAATTTTGTGATAAACAGCAATGTTCTTAAGAGTGTAAAAGTTTCTAAACACTTTGAATTTCATTTCAATTCATATTACAGTGCTTGGCATACTTCAACACATTTTGAAGTTGAACTGTTGTAAACGGTTGAGTATATCATGAGTTTGTTCAATAACACTTTTTAAAAAACTTAGGTGATGATGATTTTTTGAGAAAATCAAACCATAATGGTTTCTTTATAAAATGTCTGTAGATGTATCCCATTTGCCATAGAGAATATCACATATTGATACTGCAGATATTGAACTATATATTGTTAAAGTGACATGACTACAAAAATACTGGTATGCCTGATAAAAAGCATGGGCAATACTTTCAGAGTTTAATACCAAAAATGATTCCATGTTACAGGTAAATGGTTTGCAAAAAAAACATAGATTTAAGCTGAAGAGCATTGAGTAATCTTTGCAATATTCCAATTGAGTTGATTTTAAATAATTTGTAGTTTTTCAGTGTTTAGAAAGTTGTGAACTGAGAAACACTTTTTTTTTTTAATGGCATAATGTAACCTGAAAAGTAGGGTCTGTAGTGAAAAAACAGGCTAACATAGCTTAATTAGAGCTAATGAGTACTATTGTATTAATAGTTTTCTTTACTGACTTTCTGTAATATCTTGAGATGCTTTCATTTTCTCAAATGTTTTCAATTATTGAAATTTTAAATCTTGTCGGGACCTAACAGCTTTGAAAATTAAAAGCGGTAATTTCTTGCTGAGACATCAATTCATATTGTCTCTTTGATTAAGTTAAGCTATCCAAAATTAGCTTTTGGTACACTTCTGAAACATGAAAAGAAAGTTCAAAGTGAAGTTTGAAGACTGTAATGATGCCATCCATTTCTGTCCGTGAACAGCTGAATAAGACATTTGTACGCAGTTTCCTAAAATTGAATTTGTCGGATTTTTCACTTTCTACAAGAACCCAAAATTCTGCACTTATACCCTTCCTACTCTTGTAGTTTAATGAAAAAGTGTGTGCACGTAGTCCTTTCCAGTCAATATTTTGTAAGCTGCTTATGCTTTTTAACATTAAGTACGTTTATTATTCAAGTCAGTATATGTTTCCAGACATCTTTCAGACAGTAGCAGCCATTTCAGAGTCCTGAACAAGTATTTCATTGCTAGCTCAAGATAATGGTGGTTACAGTTTCGTAGGTTTAGGTAACTTGTTTTTTTCCCTTACTGAGAAAATAGAACTAGTGGGTTAGTGGTGTAACAAAATATACAAATGTAACCATTGCTGTTCAACACCTTTTTAGAGAAAATACTGTTTCAGAATTGGACTTTGTCATATTTCAGATCTGAGTTGACTTTTTTTTAAGGCCAGGAAAAACTAATAGAAATATGGTCAAACAATTAATTGTAGTTGTCCAAAATTACTGAAATGTCACTAATGTCTATTTCATATCTTGTATTAAAGCTCTGTAAAGAAATTCCATCTGGTAGATGGTCAGGGAGGGAAGGTGGGGGGAGTATTTTTACTTAGTGAAGTCTGTTAAGTTGTGCTTCAGATAAAAATGTACTCCTGAGCTGTTTTTCTAATGTTGGTCTATGGTTTTGCAATTTTGTTATTCAAAAGTAGTTGCTGTTTGTAAAATAAACTTTTGTACATATCTGCAAATGCTGTTTTCTCTACATCTGGAAGAATCCATTGCTGCTTGAGAGAAATAATCAGGAAAATTTAAAAATATACTTCAATTTCTTTACCTGCTTTTATTCCTTGCAAGACTACATACAGGTCACCTTTCATTCTCCTTACCTACATAGAGAATGATTCCTTGGCAAGAGACTGTACTGGATTTGTATAATAGTCATTGGAGGAACAAATAATTTTGAAATTTCAGTGTGATTTAAGGTCTCACCAATTTCCGCAAGGTATATAAAAGGTTCCTATCTGTCATGAAAAGATACACTTAACAGATCTATGCAGAAATCTCTAAATGTGCTGAGTTTAACTACTTTGCTAAATATCCTTTCCCAAATACAGGTTCCTCCATCCTTTCCATAGCATATTGGAAATGTGGTGTTAGTTCAAGTCAGCAGATGTAATGGCTCAGCAAACTAATCCATTAGTCTTTTAGACCTTCTGTTCCAGAAAAAATGGATTTCATAGGAAAATACTGGCATTGTCCTACTGGAAAGGCCAATTGCCTTGGTCAAAGGTAAAAAAGGACAAGTGAAAGTTTTTCCTTGTTGTTCAGTCTTTTGTGTGATCCAGTCAACCCAGCATTTCCCAAACATTGGAGCCCTGCCTTTGAGGGGGAGGCACAAGAGATCCTAGGCAGGAAAAGTAGGAACTCCAGGTGATAGTAGGTATAGTGATGGAAGGTTTAAAAGAAAAATAAATTAACTGAAGGTAGGGAAAGGGTGAGTGGCTACATCAAAGACAACAGACCAAATAGTGTTAGAAATGTTAGACAAGCTCTGTGTTCCACTGCAGTGTAAAACAGTCTCCCTTGTTAAGGAGAGGTAGTCAACAGCCGTTCTTTTAAATGCATAATGTTGCCATTCGTGCTGCACAGATGTTGGGTTTTAAGAAGTTAAACATGAGGATCACGGGGCTGCTCTTGGGTGCTGCGGACCTGCTGTGGTGGGGGTCAGGCTGTGACCTTGAACTCGCTGCGGCAGCAAGTCGCTGTGCAGGAGGAGGCTGGGGGCCGGGCTGTGCAGCAGTAAAAATAGAGTAGCTGACACCCAGTTAGGTATTACTCACTGACATTTTTCCATTAAAATGTCTTAAATCCCACAGTGTGGTAAAATTATGACTTGAGTATAAGTGGTTTAAAAAAAAAAAAAAAAAAAAAGAGGGAGGAGGTGTGGAGAGGGAAGTTCTAAATAAGATTAGGTGGGTTTGTCCGTGGTTGTTTTGGCAATAGATTACCCACTGTGTAGCACACGGAATGTTACTGGGGTGTAGCACTCTCAGCAAGCTCTGTCTCCAGCTGCAGGTGAGTGACTTGCCTAGAATTAGACAATATTAAATTAACCATCTGGCTTACAACTAGTTTTATAAAGCACATACTTCCAAAGCGACAGCACAGATGCACTTTTCCTACGATACTAATGTGCGGAGAGATTTCCTTCCTCCTGTATCAGTTTTAAACAAGGGCTGTTTGTGTCCTTGCACTCGAGGGTAAGAAACATTTAAAGTGCTCTTTCAGAAGATCACCAAGTATCTGACAATGTATTAAATTTCTGATGATGGATTTGTGTGGCTTGTGATGATGGTGCTTACAGTTTGGAGCAGAACACCGTACTCGGATGACCTTGAGCTGCACTCTGGAATCCATCTGGTGTCATTTCCAAACTGAACGTTGCCTGGGATTTAAATCATGAGAAGATAAAGCTTTGCATGCTCCACCCCTGCTTAACAGCCATATAATTTTTTTTAATATGGTTGTGAAACAGTAACGATTTTCTACCTGATTTTAAAATCCTTTAGCTGCTTAACTGTGGTAAGTTAAAACTGTTTAAAAATTGTATAAACAATTAAAGGGACCCAGTCTTGAATTTAATAATGTCCGTGTACTCTCACTGAAGTAGGTAGGATCGCATGCGTGAAATCAGACAGTCTGGTGGTTTGGGGTTTTTTTTGTGAAGGTAATATTTCAGGGTCACAGTGGATGCACAATGAGGGGGTGGGCAATTAATTTTGGTACTAATTGATGTTTCTGGTGTGATGGGTATCTGTCCTTGAAAGAGCAGGGTGTAGGCCAAGAAAGTCAACATCCTCACCCAAAAGATGGTCTAACAGCGCCAGTGCTGAGCTCAGCATACCTTGTGAACACTTGCAGCTCCCGCTCTGGCATTATGTCCTAGTCCTGGCCTTAGGATGCAAAATTCCTTAATTTAGCCAGTAAGGGGCTGCCCTTCCTCTTGGGCTTTTTTTTCCTTCCAGCTCATTGTGCACCCTCTAAGAGAGGACAAGGAAAATTTCTCCCCCTCTCCTAGTGCCTTGGCCGCCCAGCCCCTTAGGCAGTGTCTGTGTAACTTCTCCCCAGTACATTTTGAAAAACAAGCCATGAAAGGCATGAGGAGGATGAGGAAGGTCCTCAGGAATGGGAGAGGGTAAGGGACTGATGATTGCTGCACTTCCAGGAGAAACACCAGACTTATTTGGGAAAGTACCAGTGAGATGAATCAATCAACAGAGGCTTTCATGTCTTCAAGGTATGGTTGAAAAATTATGTTTAAAGAAAAACAAAAAAGTAAACCCATTCTATTGAGAGGGCTAGATATTTAGCATGAAGGAAGCTTTTGTTAAAAATATCAGTGTAGCCTTATCAATTTTAGGTGTTTATATTCAGTGTCCCAGAACGTAAAGGGAACAGCAGGTGAGCACTTCCCTGGCAAACCTCTGCCCTCTTGACATGTCCAAACCAAACGCTGCTCACTTCAGATTAGAACAGTTGATTGTCTGACGTGCCTTGCTGCCAGAAAATACATTCAAGTTGAGGAGCAGCCTCACCTGTGGAGGACTCTTGGTTTAGGTAGTCGGTGGGCTCTGGCAGAGCCAGCTGCAGAGCTTTCCTGGAATAAAAGTAGCGTATCGGCGGTTATAGCCAAGTCCCAGGTATACAAAGAAAGGAAAAAGCAAGAGGACAAATAATGATCTTCCCTCAATAAACTTAGCAGGCTTTTTGCAACGATTGCATTTGAACTATGGTGTTTAGTCAGGGCTGTATAAAGCAGTTGGGGATTTTTTTATGCTTCTTTTGTTCAAACAATCATTTGGCTTCTGGGCCAAAAATGGGATTCAAACAATCATTTGGCTTCTGGGCCAAAAATGATCACCTCTTACCAGTTCTTACCATCTCCTCACTGGTGAGGTCACAAAGTCGTTTGCAAGGTTGCATGGCATCTGGTGTACACAATAGTCGCACAGGCCTATATAATCAGCAGTCCTTGTGCTGGATGAGAAACACCTGGTCTCACTCAGCCCACCTCTTTGAGGCTTCTCCCGAGTTTGTCAATACAACCACAAGGGAGTGGGGGTGCAGCCTTCCATGCACTCCTGCATCCTTGGGTGAGGTTCCTTAGACTAATTACAAAGGCTACAGGTGGTCCTTGATGAACGTTGAGGCATTACTGATGCCACCCTGTGACTCGAAGCGCGCACACAGGCACACTTTGTGACAATCCATTGTCGTTCCAGTCTCTTACAGGGTGGTGGGACACTGGCACAGGTTGCCCCGAGAAGCTGTGGCTGCCCCCTCCCTGAAGGGTTCAAGGCCAGGTTGGACGGGGCTTTGGCTGTCCCTGAGTGTGGAACTGGATGATCTTGAAGGTCCCTTCCCACCCAAACCATTCTGTGCTTCTATGTACTTGATGCTCTAGTCTGTGGAAAGATGTTCTGGAGAATAGAGAGTTACCTCAGACTTCGAGGTTGGTTTCTCTGTACCACCCAAGTCACCTTGTGTCATTTGGGGCAATTCTCTGCTCCTGAGAACTCACAAGTGTGCTGCAAAGAGGTGATTCCCTACTGAGCTTGACAGGGTTGGTTACTGGAGAAATGAGACCTGTCTGAGGATAACTCACAACTTGCCTGAGGTCAACAGTAGCAATTCTGGGAACATAAACTAATAACATACAGAACACAGGCTGCCTCGCTGTGCCTCGGCTACTTACGATTTTAAATTTCTTGACTGTAGCAATGCACTTCTTTTTTTTTTTTTTTTTTTTTTTTCCCCCCATTAAACTAGGGGGAGAAGGAAAGCCAGAAAATATTTTTATAAAAACAGCTATATGTACCAAAAAGCATACTGATGTAGAAATCCAGATTTAGCAATGGATTTCCTATAGACAGGAAATACAGGAATGCAATAAATTGCAGAGATTCCACCATCATCTTTCATTTCTATCAATAGCTTTGAACCAGTGCCTTTCAGAAAAAGTTTGTGCCAGAGAATATAGCAAAAAGGGACTTTTTCTGCTGTGCACTGTTTCCTCCTTCCCAGAGGCAGGATCAACTCTAGTTGTATAAATCACAGTAGTTCTCATCCAACCTATCTGTAAAAAGTTGCCAGCGCTGAGATTCGGCAGTTGAAGTGCCAAAACCAAAATTGCCTGAACTATATAAAATATATTTTCTGATGTCTAAACTAAAGCTCTTTTGCTGCTACTAAAGCCCACCATACTTCTTGCAGTTAGAGAGGAAGAGAATGACTTTTCTTTTTTCATTTCCTCCTATTGAAGTAGAAGGAAAAAGGTCACCTTAGATATTTGTAAAAGGGTTGGGCTAGCTCTTGCCCAAATCCGATCTTCTCTGGACTAAGTAAGTCCAAGTCTTTTGTTGTTTGGGGGTAATTTTGGGTTTGATTGGGGCTTTTTATGGGGATTTTTTTTTCAACTTCTTAGATCTGACTATCTCCTGGACTCTGCCACCAGCCTGTAACATCCCCAGATTGCCATATCCAAGCAGACAACATGCTTCAGCCGAGGCTTCGCAGTGCCAGGCGGATCTACGGCACCGCTCCGTGTGGCCCTGCCTGTGGTTTGCCAGGTTTGCAGCAGCGTGAGGAGAGCTGCTCACGTCCAGGCGGGGATGCGTGGCTGCCTCTGCCTTCCCTTGCTGCATCTCAGCTTGCCCGCTCCCTGCCCATGCTTTGTGCTGCA